ACCGGGAGTGGACTTTTTGATATCGGGGTCGTATTGGATTTTCGGAAGTTGAAGTAGATTCGTGGTGTCATTTATGACTTGTGTGCAAAATTTGAGGTCAATCGGATGTGATTTGATAGGTTTCGACGTTGTTTGTAGAATTTGAAAATTTCAAAATTCATTAGGCTTGAATCCGTGTGTAATTCGTGTTTTTGGTTTTATTTGAGATGATTTGAGGGTTCAACTAAGTTCGTATCGTGATTTATAACTTGTTGGTATGTTTGGTTGAGGTCCCGGGGGCCTCGGGTTGATTTCAGGTGGTTAACAGACTTGGTTTTGAGTTGGTGAAGTAGCTGAAGTGTTGCTGCTACTGGTGTAACCGCACCTGCGGAGTGGGCACCGCAGGTGCGAGCCCGCAGAAGCGGGAAGAGAGCCACAGAAGCGGGCAAGGTGGAGATGGCAGTGGTCGCAAGTGCAATGTTCCTTCCGCACCTACGAGGACACAGATGCAACAAGAATGGCGCAGGTGCGAAGTTTGAAGGATTGGAAAGGTAGGTTGTTTTCGCAGGTGCGAGCCCAGTGACTTAAGTGATTTCTGCAGAAGCGGTTCCACGGGTGCGAAAATATGGCCGCAGGTACGAAAGGCCTGGCAGAATGTTAAAAACAAGGATTCTCGATTTTAGCTTCATTTCAATATTTTGAACTCGGACTTAGGCGATTTTGGAGAGAATTTTCGAGGGGATTCTTGAGGTAAGCTTCTTGAACTCGTTTTTTGTCAATAATCTTATTTTTCCCGTTGTTTTTCCACCTAGATTGTGTGGTTTTGAGGTGAAAATCGGAGATTTGAAGCTAGGAATTTGGAGAGTGAATTTTGGGAATTTAAATGACCATTTAGTATCGGATTTTGGTAAATTTGGTATACTTAAACTCGTGAGTGAATGGGCTTTCGGATTTTGTGACTTTTGTCAAATTTCGAGATGTGGGCCTGGGAGCCGGGTTTGAGCCGATTTTGCATTTTGGCTATAATTTAGTATTTTTCTTGTGGAATTGGTCTCTTTAGCCTATATTAATTGTATTGTACTGCTTGTGGCTAGATTCGGGACGTTTGGAGACCGATTTGAGAGTCAAAAGCATTTTGGAGTAGAGTTTTGCTCGGATTGAGGTAAGTAACACTTTCAAACTTAGTTTTGAGGGTTCGCAACCCCGAATTATGTGTTGTGTGATTGGCATTGAGGTGACGCACATGCCAAGTGACAGGCATGCGAGTGTGCACCGTAAAAATTGTGACCTGGTCGATTCCATAGCACTGTATCGTGGTCCTATCATGTTGATATCCGTGTTTTCATCATGTGATAAAGTAATTGAGCTGTCAATCATGCTAGATATCATGTTTAGGCTTTATGACAGTACTGTTGGGACCCATAGTGGTCGTTTCTTGTTGTCATCTAACTGATTTCGTTGATATTTCGTACTCGGTCATATTCATTCATTTCATATCATATCTTAGTCTCAGTTGTTATTTATTGATACATCATATCGTTTTTTTCAGGCTAGTTTCATGACATTGTGAGCCCGTGAGTGAGACTGGAGATATTGATGACTGAGTGAGACCGAGAGCCTGAGTATGAGTGATAGTTATGGGATCGGGCTACATGCCGCAGTGGTTATACTCATTTATGTTAGTGCTTGGGCTGAAGGGGCCCCTCTGAAGTCTGTACACACCCCCAGTGAGCGTGATTTTATATTATTGAGGGATGGATCTTCCCTGGACATAGTATTGTCCGAAGCATTATATACCTAGAGATGGATCTTTTCCACGAGCTGGATTGGCGTTACTCGGTACTGGGTGACTGATGGTCAGTTATGTGTATATATTCATGGATGGATCTTCCCTGGGCCTTATGGGCCATATACAGTACCGAGTGATTGAGTATTTAAGAGTGAGCACATGAGGTTGTCAGCATGGTGCATCACATACAGCGTGTGCATTGGCATGTAAAAGTAGAAGAGTTATATTCTTTACATTATTCAGATTTGATCTATTTTACTATTTTGAGCTATTTATTTAACTTGAAAGCATGCCTATATTTCTTCACTGTTATTTCTATTTTGAATTGTGCCGGTTGAGTTCGTCACTACCTTTCAGTCCTACGGTTTGACGAGCACGTACTGACTTTTAAGTTTAGATTTTTTCTGAAAAAGTAGTTATGCATAGATGAAATTTGGATCAACCATATTTGGCGAACAATTAATAGACCACTAATTGATGGAATCATTTTTTAATAGTCTTAAATTATATATTCTATAATGACAATTTCCTACTTGGCACCATGGGATTAGGATGGTTGTACTCTTGCACGGTTACACCGGTGTTCATGCACATATACAACATTTAAAGGAATTCATACTTTTGCCCTCTTGAGTAGCAAGCCCCTAACATACAAACCACGAAAAGAATTTTTTTAAAAAAGACAGCAATTGTTAACTTGCTTTTCTTCTTTTTAATATAATTTTTTGTGTTGCAAATAGTTTCTCCTATAGGACAGTTGTCTGTTGATCCTTCCAATTTTGTTCAACTACCTAGGAGATGTTTGCTTGAATAATTAATGATGGTAAAATAACTAATCAGCTCAACAATATTGTGAATTCTAACACTTTAATTTCCATGTGTAATGTTGAGAAATAATATGTTTGTTACGGCCGATCGCTCATGAAAATAGTGACACTAAACTTCCCTTTTTAGATTTTTGATACTAAAAAAGGAACCAACTTTAGGGTGAGTTTTACTCCTATAAATTTATTTACAATGCTACAAGGCTAAGAACGTTCGAACGATACTGTGAGGATTCATCATGAATTTGCTAGTATTACGTTCATTGAGTATCAGCCTATCACATTCCTTCTCTTTTATTCGAATTTATGACCAACTATACATGAATTAGCTTGTTTTACAAGAATTTACTCATATCAGCATATGTATAGTCTTTTTCACATGGACTGATCGCTAGATTACAAAATCAATAATGATCTTTATTCAAACTTCAATATTTTTGAGGAATTTAGTTTCTTACTGGTCATGGGCTTATAGACTTTCTGGCATGAATATATCCCGAAATGGTTGAACAACAATTACTTGTTGAAAGCATCGCAATAACAACATTCGCGTGCTGAAACTTTGTGGCTGAAATATATATGTCCAAACTATATAGCAACTATTAGTCTAAGACGATGTTTAAGAAAAGATGTAAAAAAGATTGTAACTGAACGCAGTATAAGAAACTATTACAAGTATTTTATCGAAATGAAGATAATTTGCACTGTTTTATTGATATGATAATTGGCTAATTTTCATCTATATACGAGGAGTCCTATCTATATGTGGGCTGGTCGTTACTGCGCATAAACCATTATTCTTTGTTTTTGTTCGATTGCCTCAATTTCCTCTTCCCCGACCATGCGTGAACGCGGGAAACTTTATGTAGGGGTGTAAATAGATATTCGAAAATCGACTAAATCGACCGAACCGTACCGATTTTAGGTTTCCTTTTAAGAAACCGTAGGTTTTTTATATAAATCTATAACCGCACCGATAATTAGGGTAGGTTTTTTATTTTATAAAAATAAACCGAAAAAATACCGAACCGTACCAAATAAATTTTACATGTGGAAAATAAATTTATTTGGTAAGTTTAAAAATAATAATGCACTAAGTTTTCTTTCGGCCTTGGAATTATGAAAACTATTACGAGCCAACAAGTAATTAAACTCAAAATACTAATTCCTAAAACCTACTATGCTACTTCTACTTAAACTAAGTTATTTCAAGTATCTTTATTAGCAAGACACAAAGTATTTTATCGATTATGAGTAGCAAACTACAATGTATTGAATATGTTTCCTTTCATATAATTTAGATTTATCTTTGTGAATATTTTATCTTCTATAGACTTTATTCTTGAGTCTCATCTTGGTTTATCTTTCAACTCGTGTGATTTATATTTTCTTTGCCTTTGTTTGATTTCTTTTACGTTGTTGTAGAATAGTTGATGGATCTATATTCTAGCCATCTTTTTTTTTTTTTTAATTCATCACTCTTTAAACAGTAAAAATGTCTAGAGAATTTTGCTAAATCCTATAAAACCGTATGTTATTGCATTCTACTTCTACTAATGAATTTTACATGATATTTAAAAAAAATACCGAAAATTAACCGAACCGTACCGATACCGAAGAGAAACCGACATGATTGGGACGGTTTCGAAAAGTCTAATTTTAGTTATACATAATAGAATAACCGAAAAAATGGTATGATACAAATTTTATGAAATAACCGTCCGAACCGAACCATTGACACCCCTAACTTTATGCACCGAACTGACTTTATCTTTTTTGTTTTTGTTTTTTCTCTGTTCGTGCGATTTAAATGCTATTTTGAGAAGCTTTATATACTGTAAGCTCAATTTAAACATCTTTACTCGAATACTTTCAGTTCATAATATATAAAGACCGAAACAAGAAAGCTTAATTATTTTTCATTATTAAGTAGGAGTTCCAAAGAAATTAGTTTTTCCCCTATGCATGTTTGGTCTCGAATAATTTGTTCAAAATATGTATATAAGTTGATCCTTTTTTGTCAATAGAATATAGTGGACAAATACGCATAAATCAATAATAGCTCGCACTATATTACATTAGCACAAAGGGCAATGAATGCATAGCACTCAAGAGTGTAAAAATGATACAATACATCGTTAATAATCACTAGAAAGATTACTGTGACACCCTAGACGAATCCCACATCGACAAAACACTGGATATATACTAGGTATATAAGTAGACATGCCTTAAACTCTGGTAACACATTTTTAAGCCATGCAAGTCTAGGTCCAAAGCGGATAATATCACTAGTGAGTTGGACTGTTACAATTATAATGACAAAAGAAAAGGAAAAAGTTTAGAAAAGATCACGCGGTAGAGACCAATGGGGCAAGACAGCAAATGCAGTGGGAGCTGCAAGATAACTAGTTGGATGGAGGGGGTGAAAGTGTAGGAATGGTTGGAAGTGAAGGCATGTTGGGAATAGGAATATTGGCAGGCATCGGTGGTAGAGTCATCTTTGGTACAGAGGGCAAAGTCGGCAAAGAAGGCAATGGTGTTGCTGTTGGAAGTGTTGGCAATGGTGGCAATGTGGCTGCTGTTGGCAAGTTGGGAATTTTAGGCAACTGCGGCATTGCTGGTTGAGGCAATGACGGTATTGTAGGCAAGTTTGGAAGTTGGAGTAGACCGCGAGCTGCATCGCTTGTGTTGATGCTTGATAAGGAAAATAATGCTATGATCAAGAAAAGGATTGAACTAATGTTGGAAGCAGCCATTGTTAATTTGCTCTAGATTGATGCTTTGTTTTCCAAAGAAGTTAAGTTGTGTTTTAAATTGGGTTGAGTTTGATCATTAGTACTGAAGGGTATATATAGGGATAGTTCTTAAGGGAATACAAAGATTTGGTGAGCTGTTAGGTGAGGAAGCATATGCTCTAAATTCAAAAACTCTATTGGTAGTTAACCTTCTCTATGTTGGTTTGAGAAAAATGCACCAGCTTTTAAGTTTTAGGACAAGAAGTTCTCTGAGGGTTGTTATGTATAGATGAAATTTGGGTCAACCATATTTTGTGGACAACTAATATCCCCTCAAAATACAACTCAGTTCATCTTCAGTAAACAACAAACATGAAATGGCATCTGCAATTATCACTGGTCAAAGAAAGATCATTCAATAAAAATAAAAACGGGAATGTCAGGCTTCTTTTTTTAAAATAAAATTTTCCCAGCTATAGTGGGGGTGTTGTATTAATCAAAAACCAAAGTTTCGTTATTGCAACACAAGATAGAGTTGTTGCGGAAGCCAAATGTATATAGTGTGAATAAGTCACAACTACTATACCAAAAATTATGACAGCCACCAAATAATAAATAAGACAATAAAGCAACAACAAAAGGAACACCAGAATTTACGAGGTTCGGCCAATTTTGCCTACTCCTCGGACACAACTAATATTTTATTCCACTCCAAAATACAAGTGAAATAATAATAAAGAGAGAAGATACAAATGCCTTAAGAAGATAAGAAGACAAATGAGAGGTGTATCTAAATCCTAAACATTAGGCCTTCTTTTATAGGGGAAAATCCCCCCCAACTCTACTTCCCAACCGATGTGGGACAATTTGACATCTTCAACAAATCTCCACCTTGGCAAAATTCCACATTTTCAATTCTCTCTAAATAACAAATTTTGGTTGTGTCTTCATCTTCAATCTTCAGTGTTCAACAATGTTGATCAAATCCAAACAATGTTGAAACTTGATCATGATTTCTATTTTTTGGTATGCTAATATCCACGCCATTTTCATGAATTCGGATGACGGTAAATCACCTAAAATTTTGTGGGTCCATCAGAACTGATCTAACTAACAATAGTCATTATTTTACCATGATCGTTCCTCATTTTTTGGCACTAAAATAAGAATTCAATATGATTTTTAATTTTGTGTGCTAATGTCCACACCATCTTCATGAATTTGGGCGAGGAGTTGTAAATTGTCTAAAATTATGTGGGCCTATCATAAACTACCTAATTAATAATAGTCATTGCTTCGTCATGACGTTGGCAATTTAGGGCCATAAACAATAATTCAAAATGATTTCCAATTTTTTGTGTGCTAATGTCCATGACATATTCATGAATTCGGGCGATGGGCTGTGAATCACATAAAATTTTGTGATCCAATCAGAAACGACCTAATGAACAATAATCATTAATTTGCCATGACCGTTCCTCATTTGTAGGCACTTTAGAACCTTAAATCTAGAATTCAAGACGATTTTAGGATTAATATTTCGTGTGCTAATGTCCACGCCATCTTCATGAATTGGGGTAACGGGCTTTGAATCACCTAAAATTTAGTGGGCCCATAAAATGAGACCTGATGAACAATAATTATTGCTTCTCCATGATTGTTCTTCGTTTGTTGGCATTTTAGGGCCATAAAACAAGCATTCAGAATGATTTTCAATTTTTCTTGTGTCGATGTCCACGCCATCTTCATGAATTCGGGCAACCAGCTTTGAATTGTATAAAATTTTGTGGGCACATAAGAAATAACCTAATAAACAATAATCATAGTTTCTTCATGTATGTTCCTTATTTTTTAGTATTTTAAGGCCATAAAATAGGAATTCAGGACGATTTTTAATTTTTCGTGTGTTTATGTCCACGTCATCTACATGAACTCGGACGACGGGAACCGAATCACCTAAAATTTATTGGGCTCATTATAAATGACCTAATAAACAACATTCATTGCTTCGCCATAATCTTTCCTATATTTTTGAAATTTTAGGGTGACAACACAAGAAGTCAGGACGATTTTTAATTTTTCGTGTGTTATTCATGCCATCTTTATGAATTCGGGCTACGGGGTCCAAATCGCCTAAAATTTTGTGGTTTCATAAAAATGAGCTAATTAACTATAGTCACTTCGCCATGACTATTCCTCATTTTTTTGGCATTTAGGGCTATAAAATAGGAATTCATGATTATTTTCAATTTTTCGTATGCTAATATCCACACCATCTTCATGAATTTAGGCGATTGGCTCCGAATCACTTAAATTTTTTGGAGCTCATCAGAAATAACCTAATGTACAATTTAGTTATTACTTCACTATGATTGATCCTCATTTTATGGTATTTAGGACTATAAAATAAGATATCATGATGATTTCCAATTTTTCGTGTGCAAATATACATATCATCTTAATGAATTCGAATGACAGACTTCGAATCCCATAAAATTTTACTATCCATAAAAAACAACCTAACTAAAAATAGTCATCATTTTTCCTTGATCGTTCATCGTTTTTTGGCTTTTTAGGGCCATAAAACAGGTATACAGGATGATTTCCAAAACACCATCTTCAGGAATTCAAGTGGCGGGATCCGAATAGCCTAAAATTTTACGGGCTCATCAGAAATGAGCTAATGAATAATAGTCATTAATTCGCCATGATTATTCCTCGTTTTTAGCATTTTAGGGCCATAAAATAGGAAATCGAGATGATTTCAAATTTTTCGTGTGCTAATGTCCACTTCTTCTTAATGAATCCGTGCGATGGGTTCCGAATCACCTAAACTTTTATGGTCCCATCAGCAACGAACTAATTAACTATAGTCATCACTTTTCCATGACTGTTCCTCATTTTTTGGTACTTTAGGACCATAAAATAGGAATTTAGGATGATTTTCATTATTAGTGTGCTAATATCCACGTTATCTTCATGAACTTGGGCAACGTGCTACGAATTATCTAATTTTTTTTGTGCTCATCAGAAATGACCTAATTAACAATATTCATAACCTCGCTATGCATGTTTCTTATTTTTGACATTTAGGGTCATAAAAATGAATTTATGACGATTTTCAAATTTTCATGTGCTAATGTCCATACCATCTTCATGAAATTCGAACAACGGACTATGAATCACCTAACATTTTGTGAGCTCATAAAAAATGACCTAATTAACAATAGTCATTGTTACGCCATGACTATTCCTCGTTTGTTATCATTTTAGGGGCATAAAAAGGAATTCAAGACGATTTTCAATTATTAGAGTGCTAATGTCTACATCAAATTCACGAATTCTAGCAACAAGCTGTGAATGGCCTAAGATTTTGTGGGCCTATCAAAAATGATCTAATGAATAATAGTCATTATTTTTCTAAGACCATTCCTTGTTTGTTGGCATCTTATGACGATTTCCAATTTTTCCAGTGCTAATGCCAATGCCATCTTTATAAATTCAGGCGACAAACTCTAAATCGCCTAAAATTTTGTGGGCCCATAAAAAATGACCTGATGAATAATAGTCATTACTTTGTCATCACCGTTTCTTGTTTGTTGGCATTTAGGGTCATACAACAAGAATTCAGAACGATTACAGTTTTTTCGTATGCTAATGTCCCTTCCATCTTCATGAATTCGGGCGACGGGCTCCGAATTACCTAATATGTATGGGCCCATCAGAAACGATCTAATTCACAATAGTCATAGTTTCACCATGACCATTTCTTATTTTTGGCACTTTAGGGCCATAAAACAGAAATTTAACACGTTTTTCAATATTTCATATGCTAATGTCCACGCCATCTTCATGAATTCGGGCGACGGACTATGAATCGCTTAAAAATTTGTGAGTCCATCAGAAATGACCTAATTAAAAATAGATATACTTCTCCATGATTATTCCTCATGTTTTGACATTTTAAGGCTATTTAAGATTCTTTGTGTACTAATATCCGCTCCATCTTCATGAATTTAGGTAACGGGCTCCAAATCGCATAAACTTTTATTGACCCATAATAATGACCTAATGAATAATAGCCATTGCGTTGCCTTGATCGTTACCCATTTTGTGTATTTTAGGACCACAAAATAGAATTCAGGACGCTTGCCATTTTTTTTGTGTGCTAATATCCATGTCATCTTCATGATTTCAAGCGACGAGCTCCGAATTGCCTAAAACTTTGTGAACCCATTAGAAACGATCTAATGAGCAATAGTCATTACTTTTCTATGACTGTTCTTCAGTTTTTAGCATTTTAGAGCCATAAAATTGGAATTCAAGTGTGCGTGCACACTACACTCCCCAGACCCCACAGTGTGGGATAATACTGGGTATGTTGTTGTTATTGTTATGAAATAGGAATAAAGGATGATTTATAAGTTTTGTGTGTGCTCATCAGAAATGACCTAATTAACAATATTCATAGCCTCGCCATGCATGTTTCTCATTTTTGGCATTTTAGGGCCATAAAACTGAAATTTATGACGATTTTCAATTTTTCATGTGCTAATGACCATGCCATCTTCATGAATTCGAACAACGAACTGTGAATTGCCTACCATTTTGTCAGCCCATAAAAATGACCTAATTAACAATAGTCATTACTTCGCCATGATTGTTCCTTATTTTTGGAATTTTAGGGACATAAAAAGGAATTCAAGACAATTTTCCGTTTTTAGAGTGCTAATGTATACACCAATTTCATGAATTCGGGCAACAAGCTGTGAATGGCCAAATTTTTTGGGCGCATCAGAAACGACCTAATGAACAATGGTCATTATTTTTCCAAGACCATTCCTTGTTTGTTGGCATCTCATGTCGATTTCCAATTTCTCCTATACTAATGTCAATGCCATCTTTATAAATTCAGGCGACACGCTCTGAATCGCCTATAATTTTGTGGGCCCATAAAAAATGACCTAATAAACAATTGTCATTGCTTTGTCGTCACTATTTCTTGTTTGTTGGCATTTAGG